CGCTGGTGCCGTGCCCCCGGTCCAGGCCTCCCCCGTGCCGGCCGCCTCCGGGGCGCGAACTCAGCGCCGCCGTGTCCCGGCTTAAACCGCCGTCGTGCGCTGACGCAGAGGATGCAAAGCCCCCAGTGTGCCGTAGCAAGAGAACGGGAGAGACCCACGAGTTACCCTGGGACGAGGAGCTCTGGGGGTTAGAACGTCCAGATCGTCCCCAAAAGAGACGCCGCAGATGCATCGCTTCTGTGCCTGTGTTACTTTTCTGTACGGAAATGTGATCTTAGGGCCCTGGAGAGTGGGGCTGCGGGTGTGGTTTGCACAGAGGGCTCGTGGCCGTGGCTGATATTTGCTTGTAAAACTTTGGGGCATGTTTCCGGGGCGATATCACCATCACACTGCTCTTGTGCCTCTCCCCAGGTTCTGGTGGTGGGCTGCGGGAACTCGGAGCTGAGCGAGCAGATGTACGACGTGGGAATGTGCGAGGACATCGTGAACATCGACATCAGTGATGCAGTGATCCGTCAGATGCAAGAGCGGAGTGGGAGCAAGAGGCCAAAGATGAGCTACCTGCTGATGGACATGCTTCAGATGGACTTCCCTGATGCCCACTTCCAGGTTGTCCTGGACAAAGGCACGCTGGATGCCATCCTCACTGATGAAGAGGAAGCCACTCTGGCCAAGGTGGACAAGATGTTTGCTGAGATCAGCCGAGTCTTGCAAGTTGGAGGGCGTTACCTCTGCATCTCCTTGGCACAAGCCCACGTGCTGAAGAAAGCAGTAGAATACTTCTCCCAGGAAGGCTGGGTTGTGCGTGTCCATCAGGTGGCTGGCAGTGGGGACAAGCAACAGTTTGTCCTACCAGTCTTCATCTACGTTATGACAAAGTTCAGGAAAATCCCTGGCTCGGCACCACAGATCCTGGAGATCTGCCCTGAGGAGCAGGACAAGCCGATGCGGGTGGAGAGTGCGGAGCGGCTGGTGGCAGCGGTGAAGGACAGGCAGCATTACGCCCTGCTCTGCAGCCAGCTGAGCAAAACCCCCTGCAGGGAGCAGGTTTCCCTGGATCTGTGCAACAAAGAGAGCGGGAGGCCTCGCTACACACTCCATGTGGTTGACAGCCCCTCAGTGAAACCTTCACGGGACAATCACTTCGCCATCTTCATCAGTGAGTACAGCGACTCCTGCCTGCAATGAGACGGTGCTCTGGCCAGGAGCTACAAACAGCAAGTGGTCCTGGCCCTGCTGAAATTCAGGCCAGAGAGGGAAACCCACCTTTGCAGGGTTTGGTTGATGTTTTAGTCCTGGCTTTGTGGTGGGACATGTGTTTGCCTGGTGGTACAAGCAGAGATCTGGCATAGAGTTTGCTGGCTGAGCGGATGCCCATCTGGCAGCAGAGGGATGCTGCCTGCCCTGCCTCCAAGGTGGTGATTCCTGCCTTGATGCTGGTGACAGCTGCTGTAGCACATTGCTGCATAAAGGCAGAGTGCAGCAGATGCAGCTGGAAAGGTGTCGCAGGGCCCGGCTGCTCGGGACTGCGCTTCGCTTTTGCGCTTGCACCGCTGGAGACCTGTCAGGCTCTGGCAGCAGCACTGTTCCCTCTCTTCATCCTGCAAAGCGGGGCCTGGAGACGGGTTGTGAAGCTGTTGGATGTCCCCTTCTTATGAGACGTGGCTTTTCCAGCCTCCTCTGTGAGCCTGCCCAAAACGGGGAAGGTCCTGGCTCTCCTGATGGTTGCAGAGCACAGCTCTAGGCGTGCAGTGGTACCTCCTTGTGATGTGTCCCCATTCCCTGTGGCTGCTCTCTTGGAGGCCGGGGTGGTTGTTCAGGGACTGGTACTGGCCCAGGCTGATGGCAGCCCCTTCTGCAGTCCCGCAGGGCAGAGAAACCGAGTGGCTCTTTGGGACGGAGGAAGGGCGGAGGCAGCTTGCCGCCAGCGCAGGCTTTGGGCGCCTGGTCACTGTGGCCCTGCACAGGGAGCAGCACTATGAGGGCATGGCAGGCATCCAGGCGGAGCTGTCGGGGAAGGTGATGGAACTGGCCCCGCCGGGCCTCCCTGCCCGGCAGCAGGTGAGCCCCGCCGCCCGGCACCCGTTGCTTGGCTTCCCCAAAACTGGGGGCAGGCTGGCTCTGTGCCAGCAGTGCGTCCCTCTCCTCCAAGGGCTACCAAGCTACAGCGTGTGAGCTGGCTGCCTTGGTGGGGTGGAGACTGGCCTCGGGTATAGCTCCACTCGGTTTTCCCTCCAGCTGGCTGCCTTTGCTTGGAGGCAGGATTTCGGGTGCCTGCGTGGCAGGGTTCAGTGTGAAGTCCTTGCCCTTCAGAACCCAGCATCCCAAGAAAACCAGGCATCCTGAAACCCTGAGAGCATCCGACCCCTTAATCCTGGTTTCAACTTCTCCTGTCCCTTCTATTTCCTCCTTTCTGCCCCAACTCCCCAAACCCGAGCTCCTGCAAGAAGTCTTGGGGTGTTTGTTCCCTGTACCCCAACGCATGCGTATGGGAGGGAAGCTGGTGTCGCGTGTGCTGGTCCCCAGCTCCAGTGGCTGCTTACAGCACATCCTGCTGCTCCTGCACTGTGTCTGCTTCATCCTGGCACTTTAGCAGTGGTCAGGACAGCGGGTATGCCAGGATCTGTTCCTGTAGCCTTTCCTTCCTCACACCAGTCCCTGTCCTCCCTGCAGGTGCCCTTCCTGTCCGTGGGAGGGGACATCGGGGTGCGGACGGTGCGGCACTGCAACACCAGCCCCCTGAGTGGGGACTATGTTGTGGAAGACGTGAAGGGGGATGGCACCTGCTACTTCCGACGCCTCATCTTCCTCCGCAACAGGAACGTGGTACAGTCAGAGGTTCGGCTCCTGGCCTCCACACCTCTCCCAGGTATGTGGGGCAGCTGGGAAAGGGCAGGGACCAAGGTTAACTTTTTGGGGTGGCAGAGTGTGAGATTAATACAGTAAGATAAAAGTCCCGCTGGGACCTGCGTGCCTTGTCCTGGAGCAGCTCTGGGAGTGTTTTTACACTCTGCTGCTTGCCTTGTGGGTGGGACAGGGGCTGGGGGTGGCTAGTCCCCAGAAAGCAACCTGGCTCCCACCTTGCCTTGCCATTCAATGCCTCCTGTTGTTCAGGCCAGAAGAAACGGAGGAAGGACAAGAAGAAACCCAGCTCTGCTGAGCCACCTGCAGCCATCGACAAGAGCTACCTGTGCTGCGAGCACCACAAGGCCATGGTTGCGGGGCTCTGCCTGCTGGGGGACCCCAACCCCCTCCCAGGTGACAAGGCCGGCAGTGGGAGGCTGTGCCGGGGGAAGGCATGTGTCCCCATCCCCATCCCCCAGCTCCTTGGGGGAGGGCTTTCCTGGCCAAGGTGCCCCGTGCACCCTTCCTGAAGTGGTTTGGGGCTGGCAGGTGGGACGAGCAGTGGCAGCGTGGCCATCCTGGTGGCTCACTAGGCGTT